TTGTCTATTTGTATACTTGTCTATCTGTATATTTTTTTATCTGTCTACTTATCTATCTGTCTACTTGTCTATCTGTCTACTTGTCTATCTGTCTACTTTTCTATCTGTCTACTTGTCATTCAGTCTACTTGTCTATCAGTCTACTTGTCTATCTGTATATTTGTTTATCTGTCTACTTGTCTATCTGTCTACTTATCTATCTGTCTACTTGTCTATCTGTCTACTTATCTATCTGTCTACTTATCTATCTGTCTACTTGTCATTCAGTCTACTTGTCTATTTGTCTACTTGTCTATCAGTCTACTTGTCTATCTGTCTACTTGCCTATCTGTTAAATTAATTTGTTTTGTGAATGAATGACTGTGACATATACTGGAAAATATAAATATGAAAATACTCACATAATTTACATAATACAAACAATGCATAAAATTTGATATCCAAATTTATCATTTATCATTTATCTCTCTCTAGAAAGAATACATAATATTTTAAAGGTTTTGAGAAGGTAAATATAGAACCGTTCTTTTAGATTTGAAATATTTTCTTTCAACTTTGAATTAGTAGATTGATGGCACACACACCCAGACGTAAAATTAGTCAGCGTCTGAATATGGTCTTAATTGTTTAAGAAACGATAAAGTTAAGTTTAGAAACGTTTATTTTACATCAGCGCAACGAGCAAAAATTCTACATTTGTATAGTTCCTTTTAAATTTTGAAACCCCTTTTTCTTTGGTTTTCTTTCACGAGGGATATAGAAAATAAACTGTTTTTCGAGTAAAAACGTTAAAATGTTTAATTTTTCGTATTTTATTCGACTTTTGGCGACAATAAATTGAAGAATAAATGTCAAACTTTATGTCGTCTGTAGAATTTATTGGTCTGATCAGCTGTATCTATGTCTGCAGGTGAGTTATTTTCTTCACCTTTTCACTTTCCAGGGTTTTCTTTTTTGTCTGTGTTCAAAAGTATATGTCTATTGCATCTCTTGTTAAACAATCTGTTTGTTTTTAAAGATGGAAAAAATAAGGAAATATTATGTGCAAGGGTGTCATAGAAAAAAAGCGCTCCTAAGGGGTACAACGCAAAGTTATAATGCAAGGAAAGTTATTTCAGAGGTTTACGCATATTTTGTACTGCAGTGTACTGTCTCTGGGCGGTAATGTAAACACAAGACGAAGCCTGGCATGGGATCCATCTTTCACATAAAAAAATCAATGAAATATTCTGGTCATAGGAAAGGAAACTATTATGTGATCATCAAAATTATCAAAATTAAATGCTTTTATCCTGCTCGGATACTAAACGAACACTGATGCATCTATTCTTGTTTACAAATTCCCCCCATAGAGAACTGGTTTCAATATGTACGCAGAGTATACGCAACTGCAATTAACTTTCCTTACATTATAACCTTGAATGAACGTAACATTTGCGATCGATGGACGTAAATTAATAGTAATCGCCATTAGAAATTTCCCATTTTGACTTGGTTGAAAATTTGTATCGAAATGATGTTAAAAGAAAAGAAAAGAGAAAGCTGAATAAAAGAACATGATCTAGTCTGTTTCATAAAAACCGTGTTTCCCAACCCTATCCACATTAACTCTGTAGATACCTTGATTTCTTGCTCTGCTCTGCCCATCATTCCTCAGGCCTTGGCACTTCAACTAAATCGTGGTTTAATTTACATAGATAGACATGTGGAAACAAAATACGTTGTTAGAAATCAAGATTTTAGCTGTTTTTCATTCGATTTAGAATAGAAATCTGGATTGATATTTATAAATTCTTGGGACCAATAATACAAAAGTAAAGAAACAGTATTCATGCTTTCTATGATACTAGGCACTGTGATTTAAAGGTTGCAAGCAAGGGCGTACACTGAAGAGTAAAGAGCTTAAAAAATAAGTTAGCTGTTTTTTTCTGCTAGTTTTGTTTGAATGAGAGATAAAGTAGTACTTGCAAGGTAATTGGACTGTATGTGTACATTTAAAGTATCCAAAAAGTCCAATAATTTGAATTTACAGTTTAAAGTTCCCCCCCCCACCCCTAGGAGCTCCTAGAGGGGACAACAAAATTTCCGTTTCGCGCAAATTTGGCCCCCACCTAGATCTATTTCTGTGTACGCCCCTGGTTGCAAGCTCTTACGCCAAAATTGATAAGAATTTTCACAATTACTTTTTAAAAACTAAACCTAAAAACAAGGTATAAAATAATCATGTTTAGGGCTACACAAAAGTATAAGTGAATTGGAGGGTTGCAACACTTCAAGTTCGACCCTGTCTTGCTAATTGATGCAATTTTTCATAGCAAGTTGAATCTCCCCCTCATAACCTTCCCCCCTCCCTGATTTTACTTCCATCTTTCAGTTGAACACGTTATTTCCAAAGATCATTAATAGCCGGGTGTGTGGGTTTTCTAATTAAGAAAATATCTGCTAAGCAACTATTACAGATATAGGTTGGAAGGGGAGTAGGGGGGAGGAGGGGGATTTTTGAATTGTTTTATTAATGAAAAATTCTGTGAATAAAACGCTTCATAATTTGAATTTTTAATGCCCGTGTCCTACAGAGTACAGCCAAGTGTATTGTGAACGATGCATCGATACGCTTAAAGCAGTTTACACATGCGCACTTAATTCATATTCTATATTTGTAAATCTACAGGGTGTCTCTGAAAAAAATGAGTCAAAGCCTTTTCGCCATCCAAAACTTCAATAGATGGAGATCAGTCATTTGGCGTACAGTCCCGTTTTGCCTCATATATAGTTTGTATTTGTACTGTACTGCTAGCCCTGGCTAGTTGAAATTCGGCCCGGTACATGAAATGAACTAAAAGTACCTGAAACGTCGTCATATTGTACTAAAAAGTGTTTGTAGTAGGTACAATTACCACATGTGCGGGGGGGGGGGGTAGTCGATCATAAACTACCCCCAATTAGGGGTATTAAACCAACCAGAAACACTTTTTAGTACAATAAAACGACTTTTGTTTGACGAAAGAGTTTAAACACAATTTTTTCAGAGACACTCTGTAGATTTGATATCAAAGCTGAGGAAAGTATACTCTTGAATTACATAAAATATTGAGAAAAACTACAAAAATAGTAGCTTTTGAAATTGCGAGAAGGAAAACAAAGGAACAAGCAGACCTAATTAAAGTTATATAAACTTGACTTTATTTTTAGATTTATAATTTCATTCCTTATCTACAATAGCTTTCCTTTAAACCTTTCTCTGAGTAACAATTATAAGGAATATATTGCAAATAGATTATCAAATACAATAGGTGGCAACAGTGAAATGGACCAATTATATAACGCCATCATAAGTGTCAAATATAACGAGGAAAACGAAATGTTCTCAAATTAGTTGACAATGACATGTTTTCCAAGATTAAATAAAAAGTGTAAAAACAGAAAATAAAGATCCAATTCAATTTCAATTATTTTACTTTAAAATAAGCACTTTATTCTAAAATTATCACTATTAATAGTTTAGACGGAAACAAAAATTGAATTGACACTTGTGACGTCAGAATACAGCTGAGGTTTATCAATCATAAACAGATAATGAGAAAAAAAAGGTATAGAGAGCAATCTCAACCAAACTGTCAGTTCAAGACATATATTTCGATAAAAATATTGTCATCATCAACCCTGAAACAATTAAAAAATAAACAAAAACAAAACAAGAACAAGAAAAGAAAATCAAAATTTAATAATCTTCCAAATGACAACTAAAAAACAAAAACAAAAATATTAGGGGGGCTGGGTTGCTTTTTCACATTAGCTTTATGTCAGGTAAAAAGAAGGTAGTTAAAGTAGTAATAATTTAAATTTTAAAAATAAAGATGTGTATTTAATAAATTCAGCAATTTTCGGATCAATTTTCTCAGACAAATGACTAAAGGGTTGTGAATCGGACAGATGAAACTCTTTAGTTTAAAATCTTTATTTGGAATGTCCTCCCTTTTCATCTTAAATAAATCGTCAAAACAACTCATCAAATCATTATTCAGAATTCGAATTTAATGAATTTGAGCCGCTGCCTAAAACCGGTCTCAATTGATCGTCGGCTTAAATCTTGAAACATTTTTAAGTGGTTAACTAACTACATTTGAGCCGCGTCTCAAAATTAAGCCGAGGCTTAGCATTCTAAAAACATTTAAAAATATATTCTTTATGTGGATGTTTTTGCTCTCAACTACTGGGTTTCACCTTTTTACATATCATTCAATCCTGTATACCGAGTCCATTATAGCGCTTGATCCAATCAGGGTTAAGTCATGTGTTTGTTGTCTATTCTAAACCAATAGAAATAGTATGTCGGTTACATCTATCTTTCTATCTATCTCATTATCCAATTATCGAGATATGAATCCTCTAAAACTACGTTTACATTTTCATTAAAATATATATTTGGTTTGATGTCGTCGTCAAATTATACAGTTTTATGATGACCAAGCTAAGTATAAAATTTCTTTTTTCCTCATTTTTCCTCCTTCCTCATTTTTCCTCAATTTCTCCTCATTATCCCCCATTTTCCCTCAATTTTCCTCATTTTCCCTAATGTTTCCTCCTCATCCCTCATTTTCCCTCATTTTTCCTCATATTCCCTAATTTCTCCTAATTTTTCCTGGTGGAGTTTTCTTTATCCCCGCCGCCCTTTTATTATCTTCCTACGCTGTCTACAATCTAATACACACAAACTTCATTTATTAATCTATCAATTTAATTGAAATACGCCTCTCCTCTAAACTTATATTGCCGGACATGAGCAGTTTTATTTTATCTTAATACATGGTATTATTTATATTCAAATATATGTTCTACCTTTTTTCAGTCTAGGATATTATTTTTTTCGTTTGTCAATTTATTGGTTTCGTTTGAACTGTGTCTGGAATGGACGAAACACACAACTAGAAATCGTCTTTTATTACGAGGCATTCATTCGTAATATATTAACTACTAATATCTTATAAATCTTATATTTACTTTATTGTTTATTAAAACTAGAGCAGAGCGAGATCTAGAAAATCACATAAATACAAATATATTTACAACTTTTACTGAAAATATATACAGTTTAGCCTGAGAAAGTTTAGTTTAAAAACGTTTAGAAATTATTCATTATATTGCGTTTACGTGTGAAATCTCACTTTTTAAAATAATATTTTTTTATTGACAAATTACAAATGGGTGAAAAGATGGAAACCAAAAAAATCATGTTACTATGTATATATATATATATATAATATCAAATAAATATTAGTTAACTTAAATATATATGTTAATAATTAGTTTAACAATACTGAAAGTTTTAACAATCTGTACAGGGTGTCCCAACAAATATACAGTACGCTCTCGGTATAGTTGATGGCCTATACGATTAGTAAAGGATTAGCGTACATCATCACTCTATACATTATAACCTCGTTGCCTTCCATCTAATAAGAAGCATTAAACCATTGACTGATCAAAGCTTTTATAAATTCAAGAAATGTCGACCGTTTAAACAGAAATATCTCTCTATTCGATCAACAGTCAAAGGTTTGAAGGGTACCGTTGTGAATCGTACATTGGCCTCTAAGCCATAACAGTTCAAAAATATCGAATTTATAGCGAAAGCATTTCGAAATAATTAGCAAATTGTTTGAAAAACCAAGAGATGTAACAACTTGTGGCTTTATTTTGTTCATGAGCTTGCTCAAAATCTTCGAAATTTCGAATTGGTTTCGATTGTTGGATATCACGAACCAAATGTTAGGGAATTCTTCTAACAATGTGTAAAAAATGATTTAATGTCTTTTCTCACAGTAATAGCATTAAAAAGCTAAGACTAGTAGAACTAGAAGACAACCAATGCTGGCTGTTACTTAGTAATCTCATGTACTCTGTAGCTAATACTGTCTAATACTCCCTCGCTACGTAATCACATTCTGACAGATTATCCAGAAACTCGACATGTTTCATACTTGACTTCCTGAAGAAAAATAAAACGTTATCTTTACAACAAGAATATTTATCTTATTTTAAACTGATTAATCTTATACTTTTTGATTTCTGTTTTACCTTAAAATTCGTCTAAATCATGAAATGCGCTTGAGTAAACTCTTGCTTTGTTCTTTAGAACTTTTATCATTTTATGCATTGATCAAAACTAAAGTTTTGGGTGCTAAAGTTAAAACTAGAGACTAAAGAGGCTGCAAGGTATGACCTTGTTCCTACAATGTTTAGAAACTGATGCATTACCTCTTTCCTGGAGTTTTGAGGATAGATGAATAGGGCCAATCTCGGGAGGGTCGGAATAGGTCGCGTTGCTCATCATTTGTCTCGTCCTAATGGTAAAGTAAGTCAAAATCGACAAGAAAAGCTCAGGGACCAAATGATGATTTTGATCTGCCTACCCCCGGTTTAAATTTTATTCACAAATTCAAATTTTTCCTAAATATTCAACTTTGTATAGATGGTTCAAATTTGAACCGGCAGGAGGTAGTTCAGCGGTGCAGCTAAAATGTATTAAATTAGGCCCCTTGACTATTATATCTAAGATAAGACAAGTGACCCATGCAATGCTGATGGAGAAATTTTAATCCATAAACAAATCCTTACATTTTGTGGTTTTATTAAGTTAATTTGTTGCTATAATTTCTTTCAGGTATCATTAAAAGGTCAAGAACCAGATGGCAGCCACACAAATCTGCTTAGAAGTTTACCGTTCAGCTGGCATTTTGTCTCGGATTAGACAAAAGTTTGGTGCGACGTTTCAGAACGCCAATCAAACAAAAATGTTTAAATAATGCAGAAACCTTTTCAATAAAACAAGTTTTTACCTCTAAAGTACTCGGAGAAGTTCTGGAGCTGAAACCTGAACCCGGCTCAGGGTCCACATCTACACCAGGAGAAATTATCGAGGGTTTGCGACCAGGAGGAGGAACTGACGAAGAGAAAAGGGAGTTTGCTGAGGAGGAATGAGGAAGGGATGACGAGGAAAGGTGGTTTGAAGATGGAAAGGGTGGAAGAGAAGATGTTGATGATATCTTTCTTCCTGTAGTTGCCCAGGATGGCATTGTGTTTGACGCAGAATCGTAAGACGGGAAATTTGGCTCTGAGATCTTTCTCGAAGGTCGGGAGGGCGTAAATGAGGGAAATGAAGGTTCTGACGTTTTTCTTGGAGGATTTGCGGGTGTTCTGGGAGGTCTTACAGGCTTGGAGGTCAAAGGAGGATCGTTTGGTTTTCTGTACTGGGATTTTTCCATGATACTTGAAGTTTGAATATCAGTTGATGATTTATACTTTCTCAAACTCTCATTCTTTCCCCGCAGATTCAGTCCACTAAATTTGATATGCTATTTAAGAATAGAAAAATATACTACATGATCGGATCTCTGAAGATAATTCATTGTTAAAAAGACCGAGGCATTTTATTAATTCTAACATAAGAAAAAATAAAAATTCTGCCAGAGTGATTAACAAATGGAACTGTTAGCCAGACTACATCAAGAAGTCTTTAAGAGCAGTTATGATGAACATGTTAAAAATGTCAAGAATATATAAAAAGACAAATAACAGGCTACCCAATTGCTTTTCTAATACCAGGATGGTATCTAAGCGAAACCAAAACAATAAACGAAATAAAACCATAAATATAAAAATCCAGACTCAATCTTTAAAACTCAACCCTGTTCACCAGGCAATGCGACCAGAGCCCGCGATTTAAAAACTTCGGGTCAAGTCGTTATTCCTTAAGACTCAATCTGCGGCCCAACTCTGACGATAGCTTGTGTCCCGTGATTGACAGCTGCAAGACTTTGGCTCGACTTAAGGAGTTAGGCCCAATGAAAATAAATCCGACCTGGAAAATCCGCCAAATAGAATATTAAACCGTTTTTTTAACTTAACTCGTTGGAAAAATAAGATGCAGCTTGAATCCGTCAAGCCGTAAATAAGGCCCAAAGACAGATTAAACCTCAGCTGTATTTTCCCGAGTTTTTTAAATCGCGGGATCAGATGTTTTCAGCATATCAGAAACCAACTAAATTAATCTAACACACGGTTCAGCATTCATATTGGAACATTAAATATCATAATTCAAATAGGACCAATAAAGGGATTTCGGAATGAAGAAGGAAATAATGTGACCCCTATGGAGTAATGAAATCAAGAAATTAAAACACACGTGTGAGTTTTAAATGTACAACTGCAAATGAGTGAAATCGAAGCCATGAATTAATAATGAGGCTGGGAAAAAATCATAAGCATCGGAGTACTATTGGAGACCCCATAGAAGTCTTGTAAGAGATCCACATATTTCATAGGAGACCCCAAGATGTTCATCAAAGATCCCGGATTTTCGTTGGAGACCAAAAACTTTTGATCAGAGACCCTGATTTTTTTTGGAGAACCCATAAAAAATCTTTGGGGTATCCAATGAAAATCTGAGGGTTTCCAATGAAAATCTGAGGGTTTCCAATGAAAATCTGGAATCTCCAATGAAAATCTGGAATCTCCAATGAAAATCTGGAATCTATCTCCGATGAAAATCTGGGGGTCTCCAATGAAAAGATTTGGGTTTCCAATAAAAATCTATGGGTCTGCAATTTTGAATTTTGATATTTAATGTTCCAACATGTATGCTGGCGGTCACCTGAATGATCTCGTAAGACTGGAGAAGGTTGGAGCCAAAAAGCTTTTATTTTCATTTCCTGTAATTTGATTCATCGATAATTAATTTTCATTATTTTATGGAAGGGACTGTAAGCGTAATTACAAGTGACCCTCTATACAAAAATGGCAATGACCGATTCACGACGGGAAACATTTATCTGATCAATAATGTGGAAGATATTATCATTTTCTTGGGTTTAAAGGTGGTTATTACTGATAATTTCTTCACTAAATCCTGCCATTTCTTCGGTCTGAGTACTGCGAATCACTGCAATACACACCGTAAGCTTAGTTAGTGATCTGATCAAAAAAGTGTTTAATGATAAGTTCTCTGCATTGTTTTTGATAAACAAGAAATGCGTAATTTACTTTTATAGAGAAAAACAAATGAATATAGACAGTTAAAGGCATAAAAAAAACTGAGGCCAGCCTCTTTGGGTGCATTGCCATTCTTATCCATGCTTGACCAACCTGTCTGTGGTCATAGATGACCTTTTCCAGGTCAAACGCCTTCGAAATATTGACTTTGTAAAAAACAGGCGGGGTACACCCGCCCCTTAATTTCGCTCAGGGAGGGAGTTTATGGACTCCCCCCCCCCCTAATGAAACCGCCTATGTCGATATCTAAATCGGGCATTGTCATCTTAGCATGTATATTGTATTTATCTTATTTCAACACAGAGCGCGTAAATTCTTTTCAAACAAGGACAAATGTATCAATAATCTAATTCTAAAATTTCCAAGAAAATATCAATCTTTTTAAATGTGATATAAAAGTTCAATATAAGTTTCCAAGTTAATCAACTTATTATACCTTCAAATTTGATATTAAATTTTTCAATATAGAAGCAATCTAAAAGCAATGTTAGAATTTGTGTGACCAACCTGATTTTTTACCTCGCAGAGAGAACCTACCTTGTCCTCGAACAAATGCACTAAATATCATGAATATAAATCGGAACTGAATAAATTTTAAAAATTTGAAGAAATCACAGAATTTATTTTGTTTTGCTTTTTTAGACTAGAATTACCCAATTTATACTTTCCTTTCATTTTTATGATCGCCATTTTTGTTTATTCTTAAAACTGTTTTGTTGTTGTCAATATTGTTTGAACCCGACAATCGTAAATCTGGGAAGCTTCTGAAAAAATACTTTAGCTGAAAGGGACTGTTAAGTTACAATGAAAAGGGGTATAGGATGAACCCTAAACATTTTAGGAGTTGATCGCGACATTAGTTCTATGTCTCTGTCTCGAGAAATTTATATAAAACTGTGTCAAAGTTATACCAGTGAGATTTTGTGAGTGAATAAAAATGTCAAACAGATCACATTGAGCAAATACGTAACACAACTGAAAATTTTGATAACCCAGAGGAGCCTGAAAAGTTTAGGTACGCACCTTTTATAATTCGAATATAATTCTTTTTCATTTTTAATAGATATAACTGATTATTCGTAACGATTGAATATTGGTAACCATCAACTCCTCAGATGTTTAGGCTTCAGCCTATACCTCCTTTCATTTTACCTTAACAGTCCCTTTACTAACATCAATTTTTAATAAGCAAAAATAAACTTTGACATACATTGTCAGTTAAAAGGTATTGAATCGAAGTTCTATTATGATTAGATAAATCTGGACTGAGCTGAAAACTTTAGAATGGGATATCCTTAATCCCGATCGGTTAATCAATCTGGAGATTAATAACAAGAGGAGAACAAGCATTATTTAATCTCAAGATCAAGAAAAAGAGTGGATCAAGCCTTAATCCCGATATCCACCATTCAAAAGTTCCCAGTTCTGAAGTCATAATTTTTGTGTTTTGACACTCGGGATCAATTATCCATTCATGCATTATGAGAATCAATTAAATATCTTTTCGATATCCCGTGGATTTACATGGAAAACTTTAATTGAGTGATCAAACATATATCCTCATTTATATGTGCCCACATTGGATAAATAGATCAAGATTAACAATATTCCACACAAAATTTATTACCTCTGAGCTGGGAATTTTAGAATGGGATATCCTTAATACCGATCGGTAAATTAATCTGGAGATTAATAACAAAGGAAGTAAAAGCATTATTCAATCTGGAGATTAAGAAAAANCTGAGAATTTTAGAATGGGATATCCTTAATACCGATCGGTTAATTAATCTGGAGATTAATAACAAAGGAGTAAAAGCATTATTCAATCTGGAGATTAAGAAAAAGAGGAGATTAAGCATTAATCCCGATATCAACCATTGAAAAGTTCCGATCTCTGATTACATTTGTCCCAAACTTGCAATGACCCAAACTTAACTTTGTGAATATAAAATATTATAGAAAATATAAAATTTCAAAATAAAAATTGTATCAGCTTTTCATTTCATAATCCTCTGGCTTAAAGTTGAGTTTTACATAAATTTAAAAATGCCATTTTTAAAATGATTTTTAACGGATGGAAGTTACTAATAATTCAGTATGGAAACTTAGTTTATAATGGCGTGCATTTCTGGAATAAAAACAATAGAAGCAGAGGCTTGTATTTTGTTTGGATCCCAAATAAGGATTAACGATACGTCACGTTGAACAATTCTTGCTGTCGTTAACATCTCCGGATAGATGGGGTTTGCCAGGGGATAAAGGAAGAATGAGAAGAAGAAGTAGGGAGAAAAAAAGAGGGGGTGGGACAGGATGATCTTTGATAGAAAATTTAAATTTAAGCAGTAAACTTATGTTACATTAATTTCTTTGCTATATACATAAACTAGCCTGGGAAACCAAGCGTTGCCCAGGGGATTCATAGTTAGTCCCCCATTTACCCGCCCTTCGTCGTAAATTACGATTTTAGCGATTTTTCCCGTTAAAAGTTGACCCTCTCCAATCTCAAAACCAAGCTAAGAACATTCCTGTGGCTCTCCCGAGTTCCTCAATCAAAGTTTGAGGCGAATCGGTCCTGGGGTTCCTAAGTTATGATCGGAATTTACAACTTTATATGTATAGAATACATTTGGGCGTTTCTGTAGGTTTGTATACTACCATCTTTAAAAAGTTTGCCTCTACAAAATCCACTTTAACAATAGTAAAATCCGCAAAATTATACAATTAAAAACTATAAAAAGAGTAAGTGACAAGCATATGGGTTCATCAATGGAAATCTAGAGATTTATGTAAGAAAGGGTCTCTGATAGTTTTCCAATGATGATGATTTCTTTCCAAGCTCAATCAAACTGGTTTCCGTCAAAAAAACGTCATTGAGTCAAATAAGTGCGAACAAGCCAAGTAATTTAAGAGCTTAGCATAAATAAAAATACCTTATAAAGGATCGTAGACGATCAATCATACAGGACAATTAAGTTGGATAAAGTCAGGATAAGACAGGTTAATAATTTGACCCCTAAAGGTTTAAAGGGAGGGCTCGTCATAAAATATTTTTTTAAACCGATTCTCAAAATCATCCCTCCAAAATTAACAATCTATGAGGATTTTAAAGATTGAATTTGCGCTCTTGCTGATAAGTTTCAAATGCATCCTAAAACCTTTCTCTTTAATACTGCATTCTCAGCTCAACTACCATGTCTAGTCAGACACTCCATTCAAAGATTTGTTTACCTTTGTCTAGTGAAGCTAGCCTCCTTCTTTTTCTCAACAGCACAGATTTTCTGATCATTCAAAACTTCGTTTGTATTCTTCCATCCATTCCCATCTTTCCATCCTCCATCCTCCTTGGATCCTTTATCTAGCTTCCAATCTTGGTTCTCCTTGGATATATTTCTTGCTGTTGTTCTTGTGGAGAAGTTGGACACATTCTTAGAGAGAACTTCTACAAAATAGTTCATTAGTAAACAGGGCTACCCACAAAGAATGAGACTTGAGTGAAGATTGTACGGAATTAATATTGTCATTTACTTATAGTAACTATTCCTCTGAACTTGCTTGCCTCTTTGTAAAATCATTATTTAAGCCATTAGGTTACTATATCGAGGCGGAATACATCATTTAACCATGGTATTGCCAGATTTTAAGAGTTTCAGGTCGTCTTCACAGTCTCATCCTTTGTGGGTAACCCTTTAGTATCATTATTATTATAACTATCATTATTTTTATCGATTCACATTGGTACCCTTCTCTGGAGCTGATATAAAGAGAGAAAATGTAATGCCCGATTTACATCAATACCTAGAAACCCTTTGTATGGTTAAAAACGAATGAGATATCATTATTATTTTAGCTGAAAACAGTTAATTTTCAATTGAGGTTTATCTATGAAAGTGGCAAGAGTGACTTACAGAATTATGCAGCAGAGACAATGAAGCAAATTGTCAGAATTCAACATTTAAAAGGTAAAAAATCGACAATAACATCTACCTTGCTACTCTGATTAACGTTTGAAAGGTACTGAAGGGAATTGGACATGCCACTCTATAAATGGAGAGTTACTTGATATAAACACTGAAATTAAAACTGCTTTTAATCGTTTATATACATATCGTGAATATCAATGTTTATGGGGTTGTTCATGAAAGCAAGTTTGTTGTAATTACCTTCAGAATGATATCGTGACAAAGTTAATTTTCTTTCATCGAATATATTGTTCTCCTCCTTTTCAGATAAATAGTTTTCTTTGGAACTATTCTCAGAGTTCAATTTCTCTTCAGCATCCCTAGAACTGGAAGATTTGAACCCTGCAGAGAATGGTCTGTATCCATTAAAGTACACTGAGTCGGATTTCCTCTCAGTTTGATCAGATCCACCTCCATTGCTAGCTGGAGCTCCAAATCTGCCTCCATTGCTACCTGGAACTCTAGATCCACCTCCATTGCTAGCTGGAGCTCCAAATCCGCCTCCATTACTAGCTGGAGCTCCATATCCGCCTCCATTGCTAGCTGGAGCTCCAGATCCGCCTCCATTGCTAGCTGGAGCTCCAAATCTGCCTCCATTGCTAGCTGGAGCTCCAAATCCGCCTCCATTACTAGCTGGAGCTCCAGATCTGCCTCCATTACTAGCCGGAGCTCCAGATCCGCCTCCATTGCTAGCTGTGGCTTCAAATCTGTTCATCAATGTTTGGGAAAATGGACCCGGAACCGTTGTGTCAGATTTACTGCGACCAAAACTTCTAAATTTAATAAATTACTTTTCAATTTTGCTAAAAAAAAACTTGGTTTACAGGAACTGTAAACTTAATTCAAAGTAACCCTCCATTTGTTTGGAATGTATGATTCGCAGCGGAGCCCTATTTTTTCAGCTGTAACTTCAATTGTACTCCTTAATCCGGGCGTCAAACCATTCTCAAAAATGCTCAATTTTTATTCTTAAAAAAGAACCTTTATGAATCTGAAAGACCAGTATCCCTCATCAAATGGAGGGTTTCTGAAATGAATGCTGCAGTCGGGTTTAAATTTTATACCTTGGTTCTGCAGGCTTGGAATGTAAAGGCCTAAAAGTATGCTGCTTCTCAAAATCAACTGAAAGTTAATATAATTACAATGGTATCACTTTTTTATACAGGGATAACCAGAACACTCTGGAATATATGACGACTTTTAGACTTCAAATTGTATAATAAACATTCATTGGTTGAAAATCTCAGGCCGCCTTCCTATTGGTCCAATTTGGTCACGTGATCATGACGTCATAGGGGTTTCATGAAACACAGTGGTGTAAAAAGCCCCATTTAACTTGATAAGTGATTAAATAAGTAACAAGTAAAACTTTTTGCTTTGTAACAACTTCAAATATACACAAGCTTGCTGTAATTTCGTTTTCCAATTCCACAGTTTTCTGGTTATCATTAACTTACCTAGAAGACTTTCCGCCAAATAAAAAAAATAATAAATCTAATCACCTCCTGTTGTTGAATACTTTGAAGTTCTGGCAGTGCCTGACACCCCACTAGATCTCAGAAGAGACGGAGTTTTTAAACAGTCTGCTTCAGGAGATTTACGAGAATCATCTGAGGTTTGGTATACTCCTGCAGATCTACTCTGATCAAATCTGTCCAATCCAAATTTCATTTGAACAGTCTTAGATCGAACCTAAAGCAAATATTTTAATTGATTTAAAATCTAACATTTTAACATTTCCATGGAGTTGGTTCTACTCTTATATCAAAACCATGCCTGCAAAGTTCCATGGGGTAACTTAATTTTTAATTCTCTTTTTATCCAGAGTCCGATCTTTTTTATTTTGTAAAATATGTTATCCGCGTGTTAACTAGCGTACTGTACATTTTTCAAGTAGAAAATTCTCCTGTATCAGGTTGAAATAATTCTACTAAAAAAATCCACCAAATTGTTTTTTAAAATGCGAAAATTAATAAAAGTGAAACAAAAAATCTCAAATTAATCACTCTGGAATTGTCATGCAGGGATTTATTTTAAGGGTATAACCAAATAGATAATCAAGTACAATAGGTGGCAACAGAGAAATGGACAATTATACGCGACGTCACAAGTATCAAATATAACAAGGAAAACGAAATTTTCTCACATTAGATGACATGTTTTTCAAGATTAAATAAAAAAAGTGTAAAGACGGAAAATAAAGAACACATAAAATTGCACTTATTTTACTGTAACATAAACACTTCGTGGCCATCTATTGTACAGGGTGTCCCAAAAAACATGGGAATTCAGTGACGAATTCGATTTCGTCTTTTCAAATAATTCTTTAATTTAGTATAGTGATACCTACTGAGAAAGCTGTAATCTGTAAGTGTTCGTCTGCTATGTTTACATTTTGTTTGTTTATGTTTTGACTGCATACGGTTGTACTTAATAAAACAAGAAAATTGCAGTATACAAACAGAGTAAACTTGTCCGTATTCACTGTTCATCTTGCGGAGACATTATAGACACATCTTTTCAGTCTTTTACCCTTTTCATTAAATAAACTCTAGCAGACATAATAATAGCATGGCTTTTGAAATTAGGTATTACAATGCTAATTCATAACAAAGACGATATCGAATTCGTCACTGAATTCCCATGTTTTTGGGACACCCTGTACTTGACAATCTATTTGGGTTTAACTAACTCTCCAAGGAAGAGTTTACATGTTCTTGAGGAAAGAGAATGATAAAGGGTAAAAATAAGGAATGAAAAGAGGAAAAGAGGAGAAATAAAAAAGGAAAAATTGAAGTAAAAAAAAATAAATGGAGGGTATGAGGGAAAATGTGGAGAGGCAGAAAAGGAAAATGAGATGATGGAAAAAGGGAAAACGAGGAAAAGAAAAACAAAAATGGGAAGAAGGTAGAAAATTCTATAAGATAACGGAAAATGAGGAAAAGAAAAACAAAAAATGAGGAGACGAGAAGAAGAAAATTACGGAGAAGGAAAAGAAAAAATGAGGAGAAGGGAAAAGGATTTACAAAAAAGAAGAAAAGGAAGAAAAAAAGTTATAAGGAGGGGAAAAGGAAAATGTGGAAAGGCAGAAAATGAAAATGAGGAGAAGGGAAAATGGAAAGTAAGTAGAATGGAAACAGGAAAAAGTGGAGAGTGTAAGTAGGAAAACAAGGATAAGGGGGAAAGCAAAGAAAAATGTTAAAAATGAAAACAATGAGACCGAATAATGTTAAAAATGAAAACAATGAAACTGATAAATGTCAAATGAGAGAACAATGAGACTGAAAAATGTTAAAAATGAAAACAACGAAACTAATAAATGTCAAAAATGAGAACAATGAGACTAAAAAATGTTAATAATGAAAACGATGAGACTGAAAAATGTTAAAAATGAAAACGATGAGACTGAAAAATGTTAAAAATAAAAACAATGAGACTAAAAAATGAAAATGAGAAGGATTAAGGATCGTACTTACTTGAGTGCTAGTGTTTGAAGATGAGTTGGATGAAGTAGATTCACGCCGGGTTTTGTTATCCATCTATATAATAAAACAAGACATTTATATATCTGTTGCCTATAGCCGGCCACACGACTGGACCGAATGAGCTGACATTTTTTGTGGACACTCATGAGTGGCCGCGGGGGGTGTCTAAGGCTAAAAAGAATAGTAATTTTTTTAAAAATATTTTTTTTTATTTTACATTTTTTTCTTTTTCTTCGGGCAACGCCGAGCCCTTCAGCTAGTCTTAAACAAAACATAATAAAGTAATATAAAAGGAACTGTAAGCCTAATTTAGCCTCCATGAGTCCATGCAAAGACGGCAATATCCGATTTACAACCGGTATGCATACAAACGTTGTCTGTATGAATTAGAAATCGATGTTTTTGTTTCTTTAAACAATTCATTTTCCTTTTCGGTTTCTCTGTAAAGTTCCTAGCACATTAACTTGTTTATAGGAAACAATGGAGAAATTTTCGAAGCAAGAAAACGATAGTATCTTCCACATTTTTGAGCAGACTAAGGTTTCAAGTATAACGTTGTAAATGTAAATCTTTAATTGCCATCTTTGCATGAAGGGATAACTTGGCTTACAGTTTCATGCAAGAATTTACGATTGTAAGTTTAATTGTACCTTATATTTTGAGCAACCATGCAGAGGACAGTTTCATGCAAGAATTTACGATTGTAAGTTTAATTGTACCTTATATTTTGAGCAACCGTGCAGAGGACAGTTTCATGCAAGAATTTACGATTGTAAGTTTAATTGTACCTTATATTTTGAGCAACCGTGCAGAGGACAGTTTCATGCAAGAATTTACTATTGTAAGTTTAATTGTACCTTATATTTTGAGCAACCATGCAGAGGACAGTTTCTATCCAAGTTCTCTGTTTTATAAACTAAATATTTCCCACTTCTAGTCTGCACAGTTGTTCCAGTGTTCTAAAAAGTAAACAATAGTAAATAAATGAATAAAGAAATAAATAAATAAATAAAGAAATAACTGCATCTAGAAGATATTTAGATAAATGAAAAAATCAATTGATAATTAATAAATCGATACATAAAAATGATAAATTTAAAATATTCAAAATAGGTTAGCTCAAGTAGATCCAACTATAAAGTATAGAGGAATGTATATCATATTTAAAGGGAGTGTTCGCGAAAAATGAAAGGGGGTATAGGCTTACGGCGATCAATGATCGCTTTTAATCGCTGCTAATCTTTCTTCTATCTGTTGCGTCTATAATGAGAAAGTTATTAAAAACGTCTCATACCGAAAAAAGTAGATTCCTTACGAATTCAGAAAGGTGCAACATACGACTCGGATCGTAACAAAATCAATTTAATTCCAAACAAAGCATTCAGATATTACAACTTATAGTCATCGATTATTTTTCGACGCATTCGTATATAGTTAATATTTCATAATATGTTTTACTTTCTATGATCTGAGAGTGACTTTTGAAAACATTCATTCCTGTTTCGAGGATTTTGATAATGAAGACGACTTTTCCATATTTTCCGGGAATGCGCCAGTCGTGAAAACAAGTTGTAAGCGAAATATTAATTTTAAAAAACACAAAATAAAAAATATTATGAAATATCAACTATATTCAAATGCGTCGAAAAATAATCGATGACTATAGGTTGTAATATCTAAATTATTTGTTTGATATTAATTTGATTTTTTTACGATCCAAGTCTTATGTTCCAACTTCCTCAATTTGTATAAACGCTTCGTTCCTCGGTATGAGACATTTTTAACAATTTTCTCCTTATAGACACAACAGATAGAAGTAAGATTAGTAGCGATCAGAAGCCTATACCCCCTTTCATTTTTCGCGAACACTCCATTTAAAATAGGACTGATGCAACTATAAAGTACAGAGGGGTATATATCATATTGAAACTAGAACTGATGCAACTAAAAAGTATAGAGGCGTATATCATATTCAAAATGAGTGCGAACCTTGGTGCCTTTAGTTCCTCGTTTAAAATTACGTGCGTGGGTGTCTGTGTCTGGGCGCTCTAAGGTCAGGAGGATATTAAAATACAATTTCTAGGGCGTTTGTGGGTGAGTATAGGAAGAGAGAGGGGGAGGGGATGGGGGATTACCAAAAATGAAGAAGATTGTGAACAGAGAGAACGTGTTTTTAAAATGTCTTGCCAAAGATCGTCAGTATATAAAAACTTTATTGCGGTGAGTTGCAATTTGCATCGATCACGTTAGTCAATGATTTTAAATGAGTGCATGCATGCACGCGGCACTATTTTAATTCTGTTGGGCGCTTTGTCTTCAACTTTTGCTAATTGGTTGCGGCTCCATACAATGAAAGGAAGTTTAATGAATTCAATTAGACATGAAGCAGACCCATTTAGAGTTCCGACCATTCAATGCAAATCTGTGCAAAAAGTTAGCAATGTTCCACTTGGTTAAATATTAAATGGCGGGGGAACCAACTCAGCGGAAAAATTTCGGAGGTAAGTAGCAATTAAAAATTTATTTAGGGAGTTATTTTTATAAGCGCGCAGGGAGAAACAGTTGAACTAATTAAGGCTGTATTGAACTACTTTTTTAGTGATATGTTTGTTTTACTATTAGTTCCTAGTTTTACTTCTTGTGATATCTATTGTAAACCTATACTAAAATGTTGCCATGGATTGATATAAAATGCCACACGACTGGACCGAATGAGCTGACATTTTTTGTGGACACTCATGAGTGGCCGCGGGGGGTGTCTAAGGCTAAAAAGAATAGTAATTTTTTTTTTCTCAATTATATTCTCGAATAAAAACTAGAAGTTATGTGCAATTTCTTATCTTTAATCTGCATTTCAGTTTTATCTGTTAAGAATAGGCGCCACTAGGGTCGGTTTAGGGGCGCCACTGAGGATGGCGCCAGGCTTATGAGGAAGTATTTGTCATATTTGGAGACATTGACAGAATGGGTAGAATAGGCTTACATCATCACTTCTATTACTAAGAAGGGGGGGGGGGATTTAAACAAATAGGAAAAGAGGAGTGAGAAAAGAAAAAAGAAAAATACTGTTGAAGCATTGATGGTCTGGTTATTAAATGATAATAAAATAAAACTTTTCAAAAACTTTTTGCCTTTCATCGAGGATTTAAAATCTTTCTTCAAAAAGTTTTAGGATGCGGAATTCTACGGCACTAACAAGCAAATAAAATAAAGTTATTAAACACCAAGATTAGAAAAATGTAAATGAAAGCAATGTTAAAGAAGGGTTGTTGATTTGCATTTATCACATGGACTGCATGAACCAATTACGACCCAAATTATTTATAAGACCTTAAATTAATGATCCAAGAGAATGTTTATGGCCGGTCAGGTTGAAAAAAATACATTGAAGACTAAAAAAACCTTTAATCTCGCAAAAAAAATGTGGAATAGCTGTAGCATGTTTAGTTTATTATGTACGTGAAAAAACTGGTCCTAGTTCATCCCAACATTTAATAATTGAAATCTTTACTCGGAGAAGGCGAGAAGCGTCCGAAATGTTTGGTATTTGTAAATTGCATTTTGATTCAATAAGTCTATCTTTTAATCTAACCTTTCTCCGATTATATTGTTTTAATTGGTGAATAACTTATATCATCATCATCATTAAGATTTTAACTTGACATAAAATCATTAATTGTTGGGAAGGAAATGTAAAATTTGATTTGTTTTATACGGAGATGATAGATTTAAAAAATCTATGAAATTAAATAAGATGAAAGCTTACAAGGAAGAGTTTTTAAATACTTCCCAAGATAACTCCGCATCATGGTTTCCCCGACATAGGGTCAAACGACCCAGGGTCCTGGGTCAGTCGACATTGGGTCAAACAACATAGGGTCAAACGACAAACGGTCAAAACTGCGACAAATGGAAAGAAAAATATTTATGTATTTCAGGGTTAGGTTAGGTTAAGACAATTTTTGGGCCAAGCGCTGCGGATAGTAGCTCAAATGATAAAACATAACATAAACATATGTATCATTTCCAGGTTAGGCTAGGTTAAGACAATTTCTAGGCCTAGCGTTGCAGCTAGAACAGGCTAAGGGGCCGAGCGCTGCGGGTACTATTTCTAATGAACATAAAAATAGTTCAAATAAACTAAAACTAGTCTAAATGAAATTTTGTTCGTCTGTCGCACTTTTGACCCTCTGTCGTTTTGCCCTTTGTCTCGTTTTTGACTGTTTGTCGTTTGACCCTAGGTCGTTTTACCCTATTGCATTTGACCCTTATAGGTTGTTTGACCCTATGCCAGTGAATCGCATCATGTTGGATCGTGTATTGCTCGAATTTAGGATTTAAAGGACTAATCAAAAAATTCAAAAGATTGAATCTGCTAATGCAACAATTTACTATGTAAAAAATACAAGGTTCTATGAGTATTATGTGCGGCGTATGTTGGTGTTAAAGCTTTGTATGATATGGGACACTCTGAAATGTTCATAAAATTTTTTTTTCACACAAGAATCCGATAAAATTAATACTGGTAGATATCGATTTATTGTTACATTGAACCAACCCACACACATTTTTTTTCGCAAAACTCTTTTAGTTTTTCTTGTTTTTATCAGAAAATATAAGACACAAAGTCTAATTAAATAATGAAAAGAAATTCCAGAAACTAAAAGTTCTGAGAATAGTAAATCTTTTGAACTGTATCAATGTACAATGTGCATTGTAAAAATGTTTTTTTTTTAATTTCACGGACAACGCCAGGAACTTCAACTATGAATCCTTTAAAAGCCCAAACCTGATTTATATCTGAGAATGGTTTTCTTGTCAGCATTTTTTCTAAATCTCTTCTTCCCGTTCTAGTTCTAGACAGGTTAAAGGAATTATAATCTTAATGTTAAGTAACCCTTGTTATTTAGATTATAGGCATGTCGGATTCACCGATACAAAGATTACCGCTTCAGATTTGACGGTTAAATACAAGGAAAAGGTTTAAGAATCTGCTCCTTAAGAACAGCTTTTTTGCAGAAAGGTGGGCTTAGAAGTCTTCTGAAAACTGTTCATGAAGCTTTTTGAACACGTACATTGTTTAATTCAAAGAAATAATGCAGGAAATAAAATAAAAACAAAAATCAAAAGGAAAATGGGAGAAAAAAATGTAACTTACTCGAAAACATTGTTTGATGGTGGTAGAGAGGTGGATCTATCTAAAAAAAAATCTGTTTATGTGGTTTATTATTCGAGAAAAAAACTTTTGTGCTGTGAATTCCTTGGATCAGAAAAGTATCTGTATCTTGTGCCGTCCTATATATACGTCCTATATACTTTCATATAAACGTCCTATGTATACCGTCCTATATATACGTCCTATATACGTCCTATATGCCTTCATATATAAACGTCCTATATGGATTAAAATAATTTTTTAAAGTGTCTTTTGGTAGTCTTACCCTGTAGGAATAACTTGAGTGAAACGTTGATTATACATAAAATTGAAAAAAAATGTTCTCGGTGGTTGTCGAGATAAAGCGATGCAAATCTAACAGAAACGTCCTTGTGAATTCAATATAAATTAAAATTGATATTGAAGTTCCGTATTCCATGCATTTCCGAGGAATTCTATAAAATATTTAAAAATTTCACCAAAATTAATCATACTGTACAAAATTCTGCTTTCATCTGGCGAATGCTTTAAATTAAGTTTCCAACATCAAAAATGAGAGATATTTGAGATGATATTTAAGAACTATACAAAAATATTGAGAATCACCGGGAATTGGAAAAATTCTAGCTAAGAATATATTTTATTTGTCCCTTTTTTACATATATTTGATATATTGTGTGCCGCCAAAAACTAAGAATTTAACGATATTAATAAATAAATACTATTAAATATTGATAGAATGATAATAATGCGATTAATAGATTCTTACCAAAGCTTCTTTCAGTACTCAGGTTTCTCTTCATTTCCTTTAGAAACTGTTATATTAATAAATATTAACCATTCTTTTTATCTTCATTCTCAAACATTTATATCAAAAAAGAAAATGGACAGAAAAAAGAGATTTTCAAGATTATTTCAAATGATAAATACTTGTGCATTATGAAAAATAAATCTAATCATAAATGATTTAATAACTCAGTGAAACAGAGTAAATTTTCTCCAGATATAGACACATGTCAAAATGTGTGACCCCTCCCTCACAACCTTCAAACAGATTATTATTGTTGTAACAATGAAATATAATTTCAACCAGCCTGATGAAAAACAATAGAAAAATGTCTGCCGAATAGAAATTAGCTTCAAAGGACACAAAATCGTATTTTATGTTTCCAAATTAACTTCCTTGTATAACAATATTCCTTGGGAACCGATCGTCTCTCTTTACTCTCTACACTTCCGGTGCTTCCCGCCTCACTTCCGGTACTTCCCGCCTTACTTCCGGTCTTTTCAGTCTCACTTCTCGGCATATTTCCAGGTATACCCTGCTGCCTTAGTCCCTCATAAACCGAGCTGTCCTTTTCAACAGATCGTCTGCTCTGCCAAACAGAATATTTTGCGTTTTCTAAAAAAAATGTTTTAAATTTTCCAAAAAATACTTTAATACACATAATCTGAGTTAATTTCCACAAATTCAGATTTTCTAATTCATACATTTTTGTAACCAGGGACCGAATGTAATGAATTGGAACTGCCTACCACCGGTTCAAATTTGAATCACCTATTTAAATCCATCCTGAATCTTTAACTTTGAATCGGTGATTACAATTTGAACCAGCAGTAGGTGGTTCAACTCAGTTCGTTTCTCTGAAAAAAGAACAGATCTGAAAGTCATATTTTGTGCTGTGCAATGCAAGTCGAAACATATAACTGAACGTTATGCAATAAAGATTTACAGAAGTAACCAAAAAAGCTAACATTAGAAATATTGCCGTCTTTGCTTTTCTTTTCTTTTAAAAAATATCAAATTTTGTGAACATCTGGATTTTCTTCTTTCCACAATAGATAAAAAAGTTTTGGCAAAAGTTTTTATATTTTAGATATTTTTGAATTTGATGTATATTATTTGATTTTTTTAAATGCATTTATTTTAAAATATTGACAATATGACAGCTATGCACTTAATTCATGTTCTCTAGTGTAATCTTGAATTAACTGGAAATAATTAAGTTTAGTATGATGAAGGGTTTTAAATCTTAATCCAGTTTAAAGGGACTGTGATCTTAATCCAGTTTAAAGGGACTGTGCACGTTTTTTTTAAATAATCCTACATTTTTAGGACTTTTCATAAGTTTTTTAAGAAGTAGTACACCCTTAGTGTACACTCTAGATTTCTGAATTTGGATGGCGGCCAAATAAGCGACAAAATTAAACAAAAATTCGCGTTTTTTATCGCAAAACAATTATACAAGTTTCATTTAAAGAATAAGATTCCTATGTTAAAAAAATAAACAAATCATCCGTTTTCCTGGTTGCGGGCTTTTGTCTAGTATATACTTGAAAATGATACGATTAAAACAATAGACATTGGATATTGATCGTTAGGCTTTTAAACTCGTTCAACATCTTTCATGAGAGAATAATAGGACCTAGAGAGTTTGGTATTTACATATAGCGTGCCAAAGAACATTAGTACAAAACGCTAAGACAAATGCTATATATATATCAGAAGAAAATTGAGAATACTCGAAAGCTTTGAAAATTCTTTTTAAAAAGAAATTTTTTTTTATATACAAATATAGACTTATAGCAGATCCTACTTTTTCTAATTGTAGAATAAGAGCAGTGAAAAATATAAAAGATTTTTTTCGAAAATACTATTTAAAGATATTTCAGAAAAATTTCATAAATTGTTTATAATGATTTTTGGACACCAGTTATGGACTGCAGCTGACCAAATGTGGCGTTGTAAAAATTCCACTTTTTCTTATTTTTCTGACAGTTGCTGCAGGTGAGAGAGTGGAAATAAAATACATAGAGCCATATTATTTAATATATTCTGCAGCATCATCAAGATTGCATTATACATTTGTTTTGCAACATAGTTCCAAGAAAATATTTATAATTTATATTGATGCAACACTAAATTAGTTTTTGCAAAGAATTTCATCCTTTCCAACAAATTAAATTTTGAAAACCTTTATTTTAACATAATTAAAATTAAGTTTTGTTTTCTTATCTTTTTAAATCAAAAATTGAAAAAGTTTAAAATAATTTCGCAAAATAAATAAATCTAAATACTTTTGTTTCGGCCACAGAACCAGTCGCATCTAGCGTGGAAACGGCCGATTTGGTTAATATGGTATTGGTCTATGGCACGGTAAACTAGAGGTCTATTGGGTTTATGGCACGGTAAACTAGAGGTCAATTGGGTTTATGGCACGGTAAACTAGAGGTCTATTGGGTCTATGGCACTGTAAACTAGAGGTCTACTGGGTTTATGGCACGGTAAACATGAGGTCTATTGGGTTTATGGCACGGTAAACTAGAGGTTTATTGGGTCTGTGGCACAGTAAACTAGAGGTCTATTGGGTCTATCGCACGGTAAACTAGAGATCTATTGGGTCTATGGCACGGTAAACTAGAGGTTTATTGGGTTTATGGCACAGTAAACTAAAGGTCTATTGGGTTTATGGCACGGTAAACTAGAGGTCTATTGGGTCTATGGCACGGTAAACTAGAGGTTTATTGGGATTATGGCACGGTAAACTAGAGGTCTATTGGGTCTATGGCATGGTAAACTAGAGTTCTATTGGGTTTATGGCACGGTAAGCTAGAGATCTAGTAGGTCTATGGTACAGTAAACTAGACGTCTATTGGATCTATGGCACGGTAAATTAGAGGTTTATTGGGTCTAAGGCACAGTAAACAAAAGGTCGATTGGGTCTATGGCACGGTAAACTAGAGGTCTATTGGGTCTATGGCACGGTAAACTAGATGTCTATTGGGTTTATGGCACAGTAAACTAGAGGTGTATTGGGTTTATGGCACGGTAAACTAGAGGTTTATTGGGTTTATAGCACGGTAAACAAGAGGTCTATCGGGTCTATGGCACGATAAACTAGAGGTTTATTGGGTCTATGGCACGGTAAACTAGAGGTCTATTGGGTTTATGGCACGGTAAACTAGAGGTCTATTGGGTCTATGACACGGTAAACTAGAGGTCTATTGGGATTATGGCACGGTGAACTAGAGGTCTATTTGGTCTGTGGCACGGTAAACTAGAGGTCTATTGGGTCTATGGCACGGTAAACTAGAAGTTTATTGGGTTTATGGCACAGTACACTATAGGTCTATTGGGTCTATGGCACGGTAAACTAGAGGTCTATTGGGTCATTGGCATGGTAAACTAGAGGTTTATTGGGTCTTTGGAACGGTAAACTAGAGGTTTATTGGGTTTATGGCACAGTAAACTAGAGGTCTATTGGGTTTATAGCACGGTAAACAAGAGGTCTATTGGGTCTATGGCACGGTAAACTAGAGGTCTATTGGGTCTTTGGAACGGTAAACTAGAGGTTTATTGGGTTTATGGCACGGTAAACTAGAGGTTTATTGGGTTTATAGCACGGTAAACAAGAGGTCTATTGGGTCTATTGCACGGTAAACTAGAGGTTTATTGGGTCTATGGCACGGTAAACTAGAGGTCTATTGGGTTTATGGCACGGTAAACTAGAGGTCTATTGGGTCTATGACACGGTAAACTAGAGGTCTATTGGGTCTGTGGTACGGTAAACTAGAGGTCTATTGGGTTTATGGCACGGTAAACTAGAGGTCTATTGGGTCTATGGCACGGTAAACTAGAGGTTTAATGGGTCTATGGCACGGTAAACTAGAGGTCTATTGGGTCAATGACACAGTAAACTAGAGGTCTGTTGGGTTTATGGCACCGCGGTAAACTAGAGGTCTTTTGGGTGTATGGCACGGTAAACTAGAGGTTTATTGGGTTTATGGCACAGTAAACTAGAGGTCTATTTGGCTATGGCACTGTAAACTAGAGGTTTATTGGGGTTATGGCACGGTAAACTAGAGGTCTATTGGGTCTATGGCACGGTAAACTAGAGGTTTAATGGGTCTATGGCACGGTAAACTAGAGGTCTATTGGGTCAATGACACAGTAAACTAGATGTCTATTGGGTTTATGGCACGGTAAACTAGAGGTCTATTGGGTTTATGGCACCGCGGTAAACTAGAGGTCTAATGGGTCCATGAAACGGTATACTAGAGGTTTATTGGGTTTATGGCACGGTAAACTAGAGGTTTATTGGGTTTATGGCATGGTAAACTAGATGTCTATTGGGTTTATGGCACGGTAAACTAGAGGTCTATTGGGTTTATGGCACGGTAAACTAGAGGTCTTAGGGTCTATGGCACGGTATATTAGAGGTCTTAGGGTCTATGGCATGCACGGTATACTAGAATTTTCTAGGCAAAATTTAAAGAATTTGAGCCAAGGCTTAAATTTGAGACGCGGCTTAAACATGTTTAGTTCCATTTAAAATTGTATTCAATGTTTAAAGATTTAAGCCGGTGCTCAATTGAAACCGGTGTTTGGAGGATTTGAGACGGGGCTCAAATTTATTAAATTCCGACTCAGATCGAAATAAAAATAATTCAAATAAACTCAAACTCAAGTTCAATAAAGCTTCCTGTGCAGAATTTATTAATTTGAATAAAAAGATAAAGAAAAGTTACAAAATCATTTTAGTTGAAGATTGAATCTGGTTTATTAGATAATTTACCTTTAGTTGAATATTGAATCTGGTTTATTAGATAATTTACCTTTAGTTGAATATTGAATCTGGTTTATTAGATAATTTACCTTTAGTTGAAAGAAAGCTAGACAAATTTGATACTCCGAGGGAAGACAATCCTAAATAGTGTTTTTAATATACATATATTTTATCCATCCATCCTTCTATCTCTCTATCCTTCTATCCTACTATCCTTCCATCCTTCTATCCTACTATCCTTCTATCCTACTATCCTTCTATCCTCCTACTATCCTTCTATCCTTCTATCCTACTATCCTTCTATCCTACTGTCCTTCTATCCTACTATCCTTCTATCCTTCTATCCTACTGTCCTACTATCCTACTATCCTACTATCCTTCTATCCTACAATCCTTCTATCCTACTATCCTTCTATCCTGCTATCCTTCTATCCTACTATCCTTCTATCCTACTATCCTATAATCCTACTATCCTTCTATCCTACTATCCTACTATCCTTCTATCTTTCTATCCTTCTATCCTACTATCCTACTATTCTACTATCCTTCTAGCTCTCTCTATCCTTCTATCATTCTTTCCTTCTATCCTTCCAAAGTTATTTAAGTCCATCAAATTGACAAACTGAACCTATGTAGAACATTTTCCTGACAGTGCAAATATCAAATCCAGCCACACACAGATAATAATTTTAGACACTGATTCATGCATGACATCTGAGGATATCATGCAGGCCATATATGGTTTAATTTGCATAAAAAAAATGGTCATATCAGACAGATAAATAGACAGATAATTCAAGTATTTCTCATCCTTCCTGTTACTTCAAAACTCCTTTTCTACTTCAGAAATATTTTCCTATCCTGTCCTAGCCTGTCCTATCCTGTCTTATCTTGTCCTATCCTGCCCTTTCCTATTATGTCCCAACCCAACCTAACCTACGCCAGCCTATCCTCCCCTATCCTATCCAACCCTCTCATATCATGCTCTTTCATATCCTATCCTAACCTCTTCCCTTAAATGTATACCTATTTTTCTCTGAGACTGGACTAAGAGACCTAAAAAAATCAATAATATACATTTGATGTCCGCGTTTTTAAACATTTAAGTTTTTACTTTAAAAGTGCTCTCCGCACAAATGTCAGTTATTTTTTCAGTTTTAAATTGTATTCTCGATCAGCCTGTATAACATTATGGCTGATTTATTTCTGACCAAAGACTTTAACCAAAACAATTTGACAACACTTTTTACAAAAAATTCTTGAAATTTCTATTTATTAAAAGTCACAAAATTTCACAGTGATAGTGTCAAAAATGAAAGTGCTAGGACAAAAAAACTAGAGGGGGGGGAGGGGGGCCCCCCCCCCCCCCCCGCCTGTTTAGGGTTAAGAGTTAAAAAGTATAAATAAAAACTTACTCGATTCACAACGGTATCAATCAAACATTTAGCTGCGTAACAATTATGGTGATATCTCTGTTTTTTATCCGAAAATTGACAATTTCCCATTGCGGATTATATCTATCAGAAACAAGGAAAGAAAAAGAACGACTTTATCAGCAATGTAAAAGTTGAGATAAAAGATTTCTTGAAATTACATCCACTTTTAGCTGAGGGAAAATAAAATTTCTTTTTAAAACGTTGTTGTGAAAAAAAATAGATTTTTCACTGTAAAAGATGATGAAATTACAGTTTATAAATAAGTTTTCTTAAAATGATTTCTGTTAAAGAAGTTAGTCTTAATTAATATTAAAATTTAATTCTCTTTTCTTGGTTTAATTAGATTGGTTAGTTCAGAAATATTTGGTTGAAACCATATTATATTATGTAATGCATTAAGGAGTGGCCTAGTAGGCTTAAAAATCGTAATTAAAGGGATTGTTAAGGAAAAATGAAAGGGGGTAATCAAAGGGACTAAAAACGTAATTTCGAGTCACTCTCATTTTTAAGACAAGGCAGTGGCACTGTGGCATGTCCGATTCAAGACTGATTATTTTCAATTGTGGTTCTCTATTAAAGGTAGTGTTCGCGAAAAATGAAAGGGAAGTATAGGCTTACATCGAAAAAATTGTTGATGGTGATCTCTACTAATCTTACTTCTATCTATTTTTTATGATCTGATAGTTACTTTTGAAAACATGTATTCCTGTTTCGAGAATTCTTGATAATGAAGACGACAATTTCATATTTTCCAGGAATGTTCGAAAATTTTGCGCCAGTCGTTATATAAGCTAGATATTATCATTTTTTTTAGATCAAAAATATTATGAAATATAAACTATATACGAATGCATCAAAAATTTATCGAAGATTATAGGTTGTAATATCTGAATGATTTGTTTGGAATTAAATTGATCATTTTACGATCCGAGTCGTGTGGTACAACTTTCTGAATTTGTTGGGACGCTACATTCTTCGGTATGAGTCGTTCTGAACAATGTTCTCCTCATAGACGCAACAGATAGCAAGCAGTAAGATTATAGCGATCCCCATCAATAAGTGTTATCCTCCGAAGGGCCAAAGAGTAAATCTCCTTTTTAAATCCTGTATACGCCCCCGTGCCAGGGAAAGGAAAATCAAAATATAGTTTAACAGTTTTTAACGATTAAATATGAATCTTTATATACAAAAACAAATCTAACCTGTCTGTCTTATAGGAACATGAAAGACTGTACTGTCCCCCATGCTTTAACGTCTGAAATCAGAAATACACTTATAGATAAAAGTGGGTCCAATCAAATAGATTTTCAAGTACAATAGGTGGTAACAAAGAAATGGACAATTATACACGACGTCACAAGTGTCAAATATAACAAGGAAAACGAAATTTTCTCACAATAGTTGACATGTTTTTCAAGATTCAATAAAAAGTGTAAAAACGGAAAATAATGAACATTTAAAATTGCACTTATTTTACTGTAAAATAAACACTTTATTCTAAAATTATCACTAGTATTAATAATTTTGTCGAGAGGCGAAAACTGAGTTGACACTTGTGACGTAAGAATACAGCTGTACTGAGAGTGTACAAATTCTACGTTGCCATCTATCGTACTAGAATCTATGTGGGTCCTATTCACAACCAATTAGAAAAAACATTGTAATTTTTGTTGACTTTGTTTGTAAGCTTTCTCAAATTATTAAATTTAATTAATTAACTAATTAATTAAATAAAAATTGTTAATTAGAAAATTGATATCTATTTTCTAAAAGTCGCAGAAAATTAAGGTTTTTATCCGAATTTTTGACATATCATATTCGCGATTTTCGAGAAATATTTGTAATGTCAGCTGTGCTGAGTTCACACACTGCAGGTTTTTTGTTGTTGTCAATGTGGACTTTGGACATCATTTTAGATATACACCCTCAATGTTCTATGCCGTAGAGATGTAATTTAAGGTTTAAAGGGTACCGTTGTAAGTCTCTTCTGAGATTAGGGTTTCCAATCGGAATTCCGTAGCGCGGAATTGCATGCAACTGTTCTCGTTTTACACGCAATCATGCTGAATTGCATGGAGTTTACAGGGCTTGCAATTGGGTCCAAAAAAAATCCACTTGTGTTGGAACTTGGAAACCCTACTTGAGATTACGCTGACAGTCCTTTTAAATAAACTTGCGTACTCATAATTATGAGCAATTTGAAACCTTACTCACAAATTTTTTGTTTTTCAAAAAGCTTATATTATTTGATGAGTTTTAATTTTTAAGTTTATGTAAATTAGATTAAACTCCATGCACTAAAGAAATCTATGCAAAAAAGTTTCTTTGAATAGGGTCATGTTAAAAAATTATGTAACGCGTTTTTATTTATAATGACAATAAAACCGCTACTGTGGTATGCGGAATTTGAATTCTATAAGCGGTTTTTTAATGTCCATAGAAAATATAAGAAACAACAACTTTTTAAGAAACTAAATGTATTGTTAGATTCTTTAAAGATTAAAAAAATTTTCTCATGGTTTGCGGTCGGTAAGCTTTTTAAGGAGGAGTTGTCCGTTTTCACATTTTGCTACAATATGTATGCAAAAACTTTATGAAGCATTGAAACGAAATGGCGCACAAATTCGCCCACATACATGTTTTCAGATTTGCACACACCCTCTGCTATCTTTCAAATATCAAATTGACATGGAACTTTTTTATCAAACAATCATATTTTTGTATATATACATGCAAACGCTATTTACCTACATTTATTGTTTACAATTTGAATTCAGCTGCACGTTATTGCAAGGAATTTTGTGGAACCATTGCTAACCGTTGTGACTTGCGTTATGGCATTGGATGGAATTTCGCTTAAAGCAATTCGTGAAACTGTAAGCAAGTGTTTCATTTTCTAGAAGTTTTGTTTTCATTTTGAATTTAAATTGCATCTTTTAAAAATGTGTAGGCGTATATTGACAAGAATGAGCAAGTTTTACAAATGCGTATTTTCGTTGTTCGTAACTATGCAAAACCAGGGGCTTCCTATTTTAAATCATTTAATGAAAAACTGACAAAAACAGCAACAGAGTTTTAAGATTTAACAAAACACAGAAAAAGTAATGTGTGTTTACCCCTTATCTACCGTATTACGCAGATTACTGAGTGGGTATTTTCTTAACCTGTTCCATACTTAGATTTTCATACAACATACTTTATTAAGATGGGGGAGGAAGAATAATATATTTTTGACTTTAAACTGATTTTTTCCTCTTAGGGTTCGTATCATCTCTGTTTTTAAGTCACCCTGCTTAATATCTATCTTCTTGACGCATCTGAAAGTGGTTCGACCATTTCTCTGGTGAATTAATCTCTTTTTAGAACCTAAATCCATCAATCTGAAATACATCCTTTAATTTATTCACCATCTGTCTGTGCAGTTGAATTGAAATCTCTAAATCTGTATAGTTGCGTATATCCATTTCTATCTCTTTTATTCGAATTTTTATCTTCTCAGTCTTCGCATTTTGCATTTGCAATAATCCCACTAAATACAGAGTGTGAACCAAAAAAATCAGTCAAGTAACTGTTGAACCTATAGATCTGAATAATAAAAATAAAGATATTGCTTTTTTAATTTTTATTTTTTTATCAATTTGTTTTGCCTTCTCTGCAGCAATTCACTCTCACACGGAAACTAAAATCGAAAATATTCAATCTCCGCTAAAACAATAAAAAGTATCCCATTTATTCTTGATAAAAAATGTTTCAAGGGTACCGTTGTGAATCGGACATATCACTCTGGAAAATGAGGGTCGTACTTTAAATCATGTCTTTAACCATGAAACCCCATTCGACATGGACCGGACTTGCATTTTAATTCTCATCTATCCCACTCAGTGCAAAGTCTTTTTTCTCCGACTTTATCTGAGAACTAGCTTGGGAACCCAGCGTTAACCAGTGTACTCATAGTTACTCCCGCTGTTTACCCGCATTTGGTCGATTTTATAAAATTCAATCCACTTAAGACTCTCTAAACCAGGCTATGAACTTGGCTCTCCCAAGTTCCCCAATCAAAGTTTGAGGCAAATCGGTCCACCTATGATAGGACCAACAAACAAACAGACAGACAAACAGAGATTACAACTATATAAATATATATATATATATATATGTATATATATATTTATATAGAAGATGAGAGAATAGATTTGTATTTGTGCTGATACATCAATGTAATTTGACATATCTAAGATGTTATCCTATGCTCCTGTTCTACAGCTCCTCACCTTATCTTATTCAATCAGAACACAGGTTAACAATTTAACAGAAGAGGTTGAAAGGGGAAAACCAGAAAATATGACCCTTTCCCCTTTCTTTCTTAAAACCAGCAGGCTACATTTCTTTTCAGGAGGAAAAAAGGAAATTTGAAGATATAACTTAAAGGATGTACAAAAAAGTCCTGCATTGCATTAAAACATCCATGTTTTGAAGTATTTTTCTACCTAAAAATATCTAGCTATAGGTACAAAAATCCTATTATCTATGAATTTTTTAACGCCAATGTTTAGAAAACATAATCAACAGATAAAAATTGTAATCTTTAAGGGAATGACAGCTGCTACTCTTTATGAAAGTAACTCCCTTTGAATAAGATTAAAATTCAAAGTTGTTTAAAGCGGACATAATGCATTTAATTTAAAAATCAATAGTTTTTTGACAAGGTAAAAGAAATAACGCTTATATACATACAAATTCACTTTTAACAGAATGTTTTGTTAAATAGAAAATTAGTATTAAATTGTATTTTTCTTTTGGGACACCTTGTGGGGCTTAATATACATCAAGAGAAAATATTTTATTGACTTGGAAAGTATGATTTAAGCCATAAAATCTTGAGACTTAGTTTCGAATAGCAACGTTTGTTTTTGCCATACAAAATTTCGATTTATATAAATAAAAAGTTTTTTATGTTTTCCCATTTTCTATTTGTTTGTGATGTGTTTACTCGACGACGGTCTGATATATACTGAAGAACTGAAAGTGTAAATATCTATATGTGCGCAGCGCAACTGCTGAAAGAACTGATTGAACCGCTAAAATATCTTCTATCTATCGATCCATCTATTTACAGTGCAACAGCAGTAGACTACTTGGTATTTATTATGATATGAAAAAACATCTTCATGCAGCTACAATTCTTTTAAAAACTCCTAGAAGTGATTTTTCCATATTCTATGTATAATCTTTCCCCTAGAAAATGAATTAAAGAATAGGTATAGGGTTGAAATGCGTGTTAACAACCCAATTTTTAAAGCCGGCTCATTGAAAAATAAATTAGATCGAAAACTTTAATAGTTTGGGTGCTCAAGGGTTGAAAATGGCCAAAAAAGGGTAAAAAATGTTTTAATCAAACATCAAATTGTGACACACGTTTATACATTTTTCAATGGCTTTTCAAAATTATAGTTTTTAGATCTGTAGCTTTAGTCACATAATATGTATTGGCTATTTTGGATTTTTTTACGGATCGGACGTTTTACTACCCTGTACTTATCCTACCCTAAGCATTAAAAAAATGTTTACAAAAATCCTTTAAATTACTATTCATTAAAACTCACAAAATTTCACAATGAAAGTGTCAAACGCCCCCCCCCCCTCTCTCCCAGCCTGTGTAGGGTTAAAGGAAATGTAAACCCTTCATTTATAGATTTCCATCTTCGATTCACAACAGTACCCTTTACACCTCTCTTTAAGAATGAATATCCATGATTTTTTTTTAATTGTTCATCTTCAATTGTGGTTTTTCTTTTAAAGAAACATGCGGATTTCTTGCTCCGATCGGGTCCAAACTTTTTGTTGCTAACTTACATAGCCCCGCCCGGCCCCCAGGGAAGGTTAAGGAGATTTCAAAATTAAAAATATTACCTGAAACAAATTGCCAATTTGTTTAAATTCTAGAAACCCATCGGCATCAATGTTTCAGTTTTACAAATACAGGAACCATTGAAGGTTAAAATTATTATTAGAAGAGGGACGCGAAGCATTCTGAGAGCCTAGTATATTAAAAATGGGCCTAACCCGAACTGTTAAATTGATTGACAGACTACGGTTAGCTTAAACCTAATATAAAGCACTTTTATCAATCAAGGATCTCTAGATCCATTTAAAGATACCTCCATGCTCTTTAATCCAACCACACTAAACGATAACATTTTCTTCTAGGGGAGAGTATTTCTTTTGGAATAGTTTCATGCAACAAGGAGGATTTTATGTAGATTGTCCGTTAGAAATATTATTGTAAACTGAATAATCACTATCATCAAATATCTTAAGGAAACAAATGCCAGATTTTCAATGATAATTTAGTTTATGTGAAGAAAATACCTAATTTTCTAAGTATATACCGTGAACAATGAAATGTACCTTAAGCAAAGGGTTTAATGAGGCGGGATTTATGATAATAAATATAGATTTAAAATGTCAGATCTTTATAAATTTTAGCTCAACAAAATGTTCAATTTAAGCAATGAATGGAAAATGGATAGATAGAAGATGGAAAGAGGAAGAAACGGGGATGGAAGATGGAAAGAAGGAAGAAAAGGGGATGGAAGATGGAAAGAGGAATAAACGGGGATGGAAGATGGAAGGAAGGAAGAAAAGGGGATGGAAGATGGAAAGAAGGAAGAAAAGGGGATGGAAGGAGGGAAGAAGAAGGGTTGGAAGATGGAAGGATGGAAGATGGAATGAATGAAGAAAAGGAGATAGAAGATGGAAGGAGGGAAGAGAAGGGGATAGAAAATGGAAGGAAGGAAGGAAGGAAGAAAAGGGGATTGAAGATGAAAGGATGGAAGAAAAGGGGATGGAAGATGGAAGGAAGGAAGAAAAGGGGATGGAATATGGAAGGAAGGAAGAAAAAGGTGATGGAAGATGGAAGGAAGGAAAAGGGGATGGAAGATGGAAGGAAGGAAGAAAAGGGGATGGAAGATGGAAGGATGGAAGAAAAGGGGATAGAAGATGGAAGGAGGGAAGAAAGGGGATGGAAGATGGAAGGAGGGAAGAAAAGGAGATAGAAGATGGAAGGAGGGAAGAAAAGGAGATAGAAGATGGAAGGAGGGAAAAAAAGGAGATAGAAGATGGAAGGAGGGAAGAAAAGGAGATAGAAGATGGAAGGAGGGAAGAAAAGGGGATAGAAGATTGAAGGAGGGAAGAAAAGGGGATAGAAGATGGAAGTAGGAAAGAAAAGAAGATAGAAGCTGGAAGGAGGGAAGAAAAGGGGATGGAAGATGAAAGGAAGGATGGAAGATGAAAGGAGGGACGACAAGGGAATGGAAGCTGGAAAGCGGAAAGAATGGAAAAAAAGGAATGGAAGCTGGAAGGAGGAAAGAATGGAAAAAAGGAATGGAAGCTGGAAAGCGGAAAGAATGGAAAAAAAGGAATGGAAGATGGAAGGAGGATAGATGGACGGATATAAGTTGGAAGAATAATTTTTGAAAATAATGTTAACACATTTAATAAAAAATGAGAAAGAGAGAGAGAAAGTTCTGGATCTAACGATATTTAACGAACTGTTAAAGAATTAGCATAGTTTAATCAGGTTGAGATCTTATCCAAACCGTCACGTGATATATGAGATCACTAGCTAGTATACAATATATAGAAATACATGGATAGATATAGATAGATAATTAGAAACACAAGTATACAATACATAGAAGTACTCTTGGCGCATAAAAGACTTGAAAAGAACTGTAAAATGGCCGCAGGGGCGGATCCAGCTCTTGTTATTAATCTCGAGATTAATTAATTAAGGATATCTCATTCTAAAGTTTTCAGCTCAGGTTTTATAACTAGCTATTCCAACTATGTGTATTCTAACTCTAATTATAAGCCATAATATTTTATCCTGAAACCCATATAATCCCAGCTGAGCTGGGGTAAAATTTTTGCAATTTTCACTATGGGTTTAAAAGTAAAATAACACCCCAGCAAGTTTAAACTTTATATTAGATGTTATAGAATTGACGTGCCATTTTTGTGTATTTATTTATTTCGATAGTGTTAACATTTGAATTCATACTTCTTTCTTTTCAGCCTTTCAGGGCATAAAATTATTTAAAACCCTACTGGTTGAAGGGGGTTCGTAAAGTATTTTCGTCAAAAACATTTCTTTTTCGAGAACCCTGTAAACCCACTTATTTTTGCAATAATCTAAAATTCTCAAACTTGAGAAATAATTTTTACGGAATCCTGAAAATCCTCTTTGAACCAAATTTTGTCCACACAAAAAATTTTAATAATTCATTAATCTTTACACATTATACAATGATATCGAAAATTGTACAACATAATCGTCTAAACATAAAATGTAATAACATGTAACATGTTTCGCAGTGTTATAAATTTTTTGGACAGAATTTTTCTCTTTATCGAAAAGGTTCAAGCCTTTTTAGATTTAATTTTGTCCCGAGCTTTAGCGAGTGACAAAATATAATTTAAAAAGGCGAACACCTTCGAGATAAAGAGAAAATTTAAGTCCAAAAACTTTATAGCACGTCGTGCCAAAATTGTCTTATTTCAATCGCTGTTTCTAGATCAAATAAGCTTTGAAACAAAGCAGAAGTGAAAATAAAAAAATGATCCGGGACCCAATCAAAACTTTATATCACACGTGCTATAATGTACAGCTAATTTAACATTATAGCACGATGATTATACTTTATACCACGTTCATTATGAAATTCACGATAAAGTGAATAATAATGATAAAGTGCACTTTAGTTTCATAAAATGTATTAAATTTTAAAATAATCTATTTAATCAAAGGAATTGAGTCTTTGCCACAAACTATGATTTCACAATCCCTATATCTTTACATCCCTATGTCGTAGACCTTAGATATTTCAAACTATTAAAACTGTTAGATCAAATAATCTAATTTTGAAATATCAAAGGTTTAAACAATTAGGTTTTATAGATATAGGGATAAGAAAATTTGAGTTTGTGTCAAAAACTCAATTCCTTTGTTTTCAAATAATCGTGTGAAAAAATATTATGTTGCTAAGAAATTAAATAAAGCAAAAGGAATAATTGTAGGTAATTAAAAGCTTTATGGGAGAGACACAATCATAAAAAAGTGTAAAATATATATATCAAGACTTTAAAAGTTTTATAAATTAATTTTCTTTTTTACTTTTTTCTTTCTTTGAACAGACATCTGTCAAATTTCCAATATTTCAAAAACATAGACAAATCTGACATTTTATGAATTTAAATCTTTTCTGAACTTTTTAACTGAAAATTGTTTGTGCAGTCGCAACTTGCATTCACTTTTTATTTTTAATCTATAACCAACAATGTTAAAGGGAGTGTTCGCGAAAAGTGAAAAGGGCAAAGGCTCACTGCGAAAAATAAGTGCTTTTCATCGCTACTCTATATGTTGCGTCTATAAGGAGAAAATTGTTAAATTAACGACTTACACCGAACAACGTAGCGTCCATCCAAATAAAAAAAATTGCAACATAGAACACAGATCGTAAAAAATCAGTTTAATTTCAAACAAATCATAGAGATATTACAACTTTTAGTCATCGATTATTTATCGACGCATTTGTACATAGTTGATTTTTCATAATATTTTTATTTTATTTTTATGATCTGAGAGTTACTTTTAAAAACATTTATTCCTGTTTTTGAGGTATTTTGGTAATGAAGACGACATCTTCATATTTTCCAGGAATGTTCGAAAACAAGTTGTAAGCGAAATATTATTTTAAAAAACAAAATCAAATGAAATATTAAATATATACGATCGAATGTGTCGAAAAAAAAATCGGTTGTAATATCTGAATGATTTGTTTGAAATTAAATTGATTTTTTACGATCCGAGTCATGTTGCAACTTTCTGAACTTGGATGGACGCTACGTTGTACGGTACAAAACGTTTTTAACAATTTTCTCTTTATAGACGCAACAGTAAGATTAGTAGCGATCAAAAGCGCTTTATTTTCGCCATAAGCCTAATCCCCCTTTTTATTTTTTTGCAAACACTCCCTTTAAATAAGGTAAGGTACTTTTATTAAACTTAAAGTTTATTTGTTAATATTTTTCAGATTTACTGCTAATACATTTTTAACCGGTTTTTGTCTTTTTCTTGATTTTCCGTTTTTTATTTACTTGTATTTTCTTTTTCCGATTGTTTCTTTTTTTAGGTTTCAATTTTCGCTTTCTCTTTTTTTTCTTTTTTGACTTCTTTTTTGATGGTTTTGCTAGTCTATATAAATGCTGGTTCAAGGTTTTCACGTATTTGTTGGGCATTTTCTAAAAAAAAACTTTACAGATCATTTTTTTTATATTTCCTATTGTTTACCTTTAAAGCTTCCTTATCACAGATTCTGACATTGGCAGACGGGCTCTTTTGGCAAACTTTCTTTTGTAAAACAGGATCTAAAGAACTATCCTGAAATTTTAAGAAATTATAATATTTTTAAAAATGATTAGACAGAAAAATGTCCAAACAAAATATATATGTTTTTATTTGACAAGAATTAAAAAATTTGAAGAGTAAAAGTTAATAATTTACTATAGCTATTAACATTATATAGTTGGTTAAACCAGTATTTAAGTAATAATAAATTTATCTTATTTTGTGATTTGAAAAGAAAAGTCTTTTCTTGGATTGAGAAATTCTGAAAATGTTTAATATGTTTAATATATGCTCACGAACCCGAGAAATTGCATTTTTTCCACAAACTCAAATTTTCAACATAAATTGAACATATTTCGATATTTTAAACATATATTATTTCACAATTCATAATTAGAAAGATCTAAGGTCTATCATCATCTGTAGATCCTTCTAAACTTTTGAACGATTAAGTACTCAAAAATAGCAGGCTCGTATTTCTACGATCAACCATAGGCTCCGAGCAGAATTTATGTTTGTTTCAAAAGGATTTATCTTAATCCGTCGGCAAGTGCTTTCCTAAGGGATGAACAATATAAAAGTTGCGACCTTTGTAAAACCTTTTGTTCATATTTAACCTGTTTTTGTCCTTCCAGATTTCTTGATGGGACTTCACAGAACTCATCTCTAGTCATAGACTTGAAGAATCCACCCAGATCATAGTACTCCTGGGTCTGTGTAGTCTGAAATAAATGTTGTAGTCTTGAAACTAAATCTGTTCGAATCTATCTATTGTTTTTTTACAGTTTCGTTCAAAATTTTCTTTATAAAATAGATGGTATACGACATAATTCAGTTTTCTTGTATAAATGATTATTTTATTTTATAATTTCTAATGTTTTAGTCTAATTATGATCAAACATTTTTTTCCTAAGTCTATCTTATCTGAAATAAGTGTTGTAGTCATGAATCTGTCTAGTCTATATCTGTTCAGAATCTGTTTGAACTAAATCTGTTCTGAATTTGTCTCGGCTAATTCTTTTCTGAATCTGTCTAGGCTAAATCTGTTCAGAATCTGTTTGAACTAAATCTATTCTGAATCTGTCTAAGCTAAATCTGTTCAGAATCTGTTTGAACTAAATCTATTCTGAGTCTGTCTAGGCTAAATCTGTTCAGAATCTGTTTGAACTAAATCTATTCTGAATCTGTCTAGGCTAAATCTGTCCAGAATCTGTTTGAACTAAATCTGTCCAGAATCTGTCTATTGTAGTCTGCAAATTAGTCCTAAGTATTTTAGTTTAAATATTATCATTTATTGTAGTCTTATTTATATTGTAGAACTTGATAATCTATTTGGTTCAGAGTATTTCTATGGTCTGAATAAAATTTTCGTTATCATATACATATATTATATAATTTGACAAAAAAGCTCAATGCAGAATTCTTAATTAATAACCATTAAGGGAATTAAGTCTTTGTTACAAATTCAATTTTTCTAATCCCTATATCTTGCAAACTGAAAACTAAAAATATAGAACTAACCTGGCAATAATCTTGTTTTGCACAGAACGAAGATCTAAATCCAGCGCGCTAAATTATAATTTGAAATAATTGTCTACCTTTTACCGTTAATCAAGTCTTGATTTTAAATCAAAATTTTAACTAAAA